GTCATTCTCCAGAGTTTGAGAAACATTCTGATCCGTATTACTGGAAAACTGCTTACCAGAGTGGTATGTCAACTAAAGAGCTCACAATTCTGCTTTGGAAACAATCCACCTTCACCCAGGACCAGCTGATCCCAGAATGTGTCAAGTAGGTGAATTAAATGGAGAAGTTTGAGTCTTTAAGCGGCCACTTGGTTATTTAAAGTAAGCCTCATTCCAATGAATTAAGTGTCATGTTCAAAAAGAACTATGTTCTTAGGACCCCTGAAAAAAAAACAAACCACCTCCAAACTCACTGCCATCGATGCCGAGTGACCTGCGGTGGTTTCAAGACTGTTAGCGGTTTGTGGGAGTAGAAAGCCCCGTCTTTCTCCCGAGGCGCGGCGACACCACCTGGGCTTCTCCAGTCAGTGCCAAATGCTGCTTCCTCTACAAGAGCCACTGGACAGGGAAGCCTGGGTGTATGTTCAGGATCACTTGGAAGAACGTCCGTCGTTCCATTTAATTTTCAAAGCCTGAATCAGCCTCTATTATCGAGCTTTCAAAATGAATCTGTTTTGAAATAGCTGACTAGCAAACACTCCTCCGAATGAATGGTACCTCTTATTATAAACACACACACGTATATTTGTGTCAGAGGAAGTGAGTCTGCAGTAAAGGCCGGCACCACCTAGATGGACGTGTGCTGAGTGACCAGCCAGGCCAGAGCAGGTAATTTATGGCAGGAGAGTAGAAGACAATGTTGGTTTTGTGCACTTTGCTCATAATTCTGGAACCTTTTGAGCCAAAGTTCCCATATAGTGCTCTGACAATCCACATCCAGGTGTTTCTGGACACCGAATCTTCATTAATTTTTATTTTTGATTAATTTTATTGGGGGCTCTTACAGATCTTATAACAATTCATAACTCAATTGTATCAAACACACTTGTACATAAATTGCCATCATTTTCAAAACATTTTCTTTCTACCTGAGCCCTTGTATCAGCTCCTCTTTTTCCCCCACCCTCCCCAACCTTGTGAATCCTTGATTAATTATATATAGTTGTTATTTTCACATCTTACGTAACATTGGTACAGGTAAGAGGTCTTGACACACGGAATCCAGGACAGATAAACTCCCCACGAACAGTAGCACCATGGGAGCAGGGGGAGCAGAACAGATCACAATGATGGATACATAACCCCCTCCCCGCCGAGGAGGTCGGATGACAAATGTGGGTGAAGGGAGACAGCGGATGGTGTCAGATACGAACCTTCATCTTTAAAAAGCATATCAAGTTTTTTTCTTTTAAGAAACGTGTTGCTGTTAAGACACAGCAATTCAGTCCATCCGTTTCTACTCGCACAGCTACCTTGTCCGAATAGTGCTCCTTTCCCACCCTCCTCTTGAACCCCCAGGATTCCTGTCTGCACAAGGCCATCGAGAAAGGAAGACCCTCCACAGGGGCTTACACATGCCAGTCCTGAGGATGGCCCAGGGCAGCGTGGTGATGGGGTCTGTACATGGGGTCACATCGATGAGGGCCAGCTTAATGGCACTAACGACAACGAGGTCTGATTTGTCGAGCTGCTGTGGTCAGTTTGATCCCATATAGTTTTTAAAAGCCTATAAAGCCCAACGCAGACCTTTTCCACTGGGTAAGCTAAACTATTTGGTCTTCAGAGGACTGAAGATGCTTTTAACATAAGATTTTAAGACTATATCCAGGGCAGTGGTTTCGAGGATTCAGCCAGCCTTCAAGACTCCAGAAAGGCTAGAGTGTGAGAGTTGAGCTCTCTCCTTTGATCGGGATTCTTCACTTGGATCTGTGATCAAAATGTTCGGTAATGTTCTCCAAAGGAGGGAGTTGTTCATGGAGGCAATTAACCACACATGCCCTATCCTCTTGTGCCAGGTGAACGATTGTACCTTCACTGGCTACTTGCCAGACTTAAAGACCCCAGGCCCTGTGCAGCGAACTAGAACAGAAACATTACCCCCTGTACTCAGGCCGATTGACTGGGGCATTCCCTGAAACCCAAACCCTAACCCAACAGCAACCAGGAACCACATCCCCTGAGGTTTTGGGTTTTGAGCTGCTACTTTTGTTGTAAATGCACCTACCACACAGCGTTTGCCAATTACATTCCTACTGGTGTCCAACTGATTGAGAGCAATTACAGTCACCTGTGCAGACTACCCTTCAAGGCGGGTTTTCTGTCACCGCTAAATCTGTTCCTCCTCCTCCCTCTACCCACCTCATTTCTGAGAATCTAAATGCTTCCCTGCTCTAAAGCCCATCTGAAATACCAGCCAAATTGCTAAATGAAGCCTTTAAACATTACAGGTCTGTGGAGTGTTTGTGAGGGGAGATTTCTTATATTCAGTAGAATACGTGCAGCTCTAATTGTAGGCATATGACTATGGAATGTAACATCTAAGCCACTTGGTTGATTAAATAGAAACGATATAGTAATCTCGGCATATAATTGGTGGTGCTCGAGGAGGGAAGTGGAAACAAATATTCTAGCTATTGGTTTTGATCTTTAGTTTTTTTCTAACTAAATTTGACATTCCTGTGTTCACCTTGAATGCCTGTTTCAGGGTAAACGGTGGTTTATTTGCAAGTTGCAGGACACACCCAACTTCTTTTTCTTATCCTGTTTGGCTCAATAGTTGCCAACTTGAAGACCTATGCCCTGACCAAGGCCCCAGTTTCTGCGGGGGCTTTGTAACGGCTGTTAGGCTGTTGAGCTCAGCCCGAGGTCCACCC